TTTTTTTTTTTTTTTTTGTGGCTTGCTTTTGTGCGTATATATGCAGCACATATATATTACATGCGTGGGCCGAGAAAGGGCAAACCCACCTCAGCCCCCAATGCAAAGCTGCGCCCAGCATGTGCATACATGCATACAACGTACATTATATATATATACAAACATTTGAAGGCTTTGTTTTATCACATCACCCTGGGCTCATGTCGCAGTGCTGCGATAGGCCATGTGGAGAAACACGAAATGAAAAAAAAAAAAAAAACATTCATTAAGAGTGAACATTTTTGATTTCACTGACCCCGTGCGAATACTTGCGTAAGCCCATTTTGTTTAATTTCTTAAAAATGGTAAGTGATCCACCTAAAGGGCACTACCTGTCATTTGATAACACCGCTTAGCCTTTAGCCACCCCGTTGCGCGACGGTGCCGGCCAGAAGACACAGACACGTGGCGGTTCAGCGGTTAGGCGATTTTCAGATTGATCGCCTGATCAAGTAAACAACCGCTGTGTGGCTGCATTGTTGCATTGCTGCAACGCTGAACCTACGGAGACAGAAAAGTGGGGTACCAGAAAGCGAATGCTGCTAAAGCCTCCTGCCTCGAAGTAACCCACATTCTGTGCACTAGCACGAAACCGAGTTCCTTGATGCAGCGACGTGACACTAAGGACAGACCCCCAAGTAGCACATGGGAATCACGTTGCAGTTTGTAAAAAAAAAATATTGCAAAAATTTTTGAAAAATCCCGAACACATTTGTCCACCGATCCGTGAGGGGTTCCTCATTTGTGTGTACAAAGGGGTACTGGGCAAATAAATTGGGAAGTGCTCAAAAGGATAGTGGAGGCACTGTATAGAGCTAGGTACATAAGTGCTTGTGTGCACTGGACGTGCCAAAAGGGGGAGCAGACGGGGGACGACGCCCCCCCCCCTGCCTCCTCCTCTCCATCAGCGTGAAGGAAGAATTCGCGTTATACGAAACAAGGTAGCAGACTGCGTAACCGTCCCACAGCGTATAAGCAATATCCCCTCAAACAGCAACAATGACGAAGGGATCGCTGGGGAGCCAGCAAATCAAAAGCACTAAGAACAAAACCATCTTGCTGAACAAGAAGCTGCTGATCGTAAAGTCCAATGAAGACATTAAGAAGTTGATTAAAAAAGAAAATCCGACAGAGGAAGAAGTGAACGAATTGAAAGCAGTATTGGAAAGTAGCGAAAAAAAGACGGAAAAAAAAAAAAAAAAAAA